GAAGTCATCTTTTTTGATTTCAAATTAGAAATCAACAACTGTGATTAATAAGGACTGACGGTGAAGGCAAAGTGACTAATTGATGAACGCATTGGTGCATTAAAGTAAGCCACCTGGCAAACCTTTGTTATCCTGGAAGATCTTATAATTTAGCTAATATTTTTATTTTATTTTTATATCTAGATTTAAGCTTTTTATGTGTTTATAAATGTAATTATTATAATTATTGACTAGATTTCCATGCAAAAAAAAGTGCCATGCAAAGAAAAGGTAAATAAAAAAAATTCAATTTAAAATACATGTGAAATAAACAGATTACATGGCAGTTGCTGTAGAATTCCTATATAGGAAAGAAAGTAGACTTCCTGTATCATTAATTTAGAAAAATAAGTGAATTACATAGGTAATAGCACATTCAACATTTGATTTTTCTTAAATATTTGTGAACTGTCAAATTTCCATAACAACTGACTTAATGCACAAAATTATTCACCTTACTCTGTAATAAACAAAAATTGCTGGTCTCGTTTTGTTGGTTTTGTTTTAATTTTTCTATTGTTTTTATCTCACATTTGTCTAAATGTGAAAATAATGATGAGAAAGAAAAAAAGGTCGTTAACAGGGCTTTATCTCAGCACTTCCGTATTCTTGTATTGATCCTTTCTCCAGACTCCAGGCAGAAAAGCGTCTCTTCTCTCAAAGCAACCCTTTTTATGGTATGCTGAATTCGATTACTTTGAAAATCCTCCAGGATCATATTTTCAAATGTTCTTTTCTTTACCTTCACCTCTTTGGGATCTAATTTCCTTCAAATTTTCTTGGGATTTCCTTATGTAGAGAATTGTATTTGTTCTTTCCTTTCTTGGAAATAGGTGTCACCCTTCTCTCGGATGCTTTGTTCCCACAGTTGCTTAAGACTGGGAAAGGAATACAGTGATGCCCACCCTCACTATTTCTGAGTTTGCTATTGTCTTGCCGGCCTGTCCACAGAAACGGTGGGTTTGCTTCTGCCCCATTTTCCCGATGGTAAGCCGGCCAGAGTCAGGGCTGAAGCTTTCCTCCTGAAGGCAGGTCTAGGGCCCTATCCTCCCACCTCCTCCATGGAGCGGAGCAGATGCATGGCAGTGGGTGCGTTTTCTCAAGATTTAGGCATGAGTGGAGTGTTAATAAAGGCCTCATCGTGGCTGATACACATTTTCTAATCCAGCTTTAACCAATGATAACATGGATGGTTTGAACTCCATCACTCTATTTTATTTNCTAATCCAGCTTTAACCAATGATAACATGGATGGTTTGAACTCCATCACTCTATTTTATTTATTTTATTTTTCGTTAATTTATTAGCTCATTCTACATTCAGAAGAGGACGGGGTATGATTATTCCCTCTTACAACCCCAGCACCTCCTATTTATTGCAAACACACCCATTCTGCTCACCCTGGCTTCTTCCTGTCATTGTCCTCCAATCTGTCTCCTTCTTATCTCTATCAAACTTAAAACGTCTGCTCCACTCCTGCTTCCTCTACTGATCATGTATTCATTTTATATAAATATATTATACCCATTCTATATGCATATAATCTCTTCTCTCATCAAATAAATATGTATGCATGAATTTTTAAAATGAGCTAGCACTAAAAGACTTATAAAGAAAAACTTTACAACACTCATTCCCTCTTCCATCTCCCCACTACCTTCTCCTATTTGCAATAGACAAATATTTTAAATTTTTTCTAGTTGCTTCTTCTGGAAGTAATTTCCATATTACTAGTGTTTGCTTTCCTTGACCTCCTTTGCTCACTACTGGTCGTTGTTTATGTCTGCTATGCTAATGACTTATTTTATACCATGACCCACCTCTTCTCCCCTAGGCTCCAGCATAATTTTTAATTTTTAAATTAATTAATTCTATTTATTATCTTTTTGGACTCACTGTCTCACACCCCATAGCCAACTCATCAGCTAGACAGTCACTTCTGTCATCAAAATATATCCTGAACCCAACTGCTTCTTGCTAATGGCACCTGCTTCTACCAAACTTCAGGATGTTTTATCTCTTGTCTGGACCACTACAATAGATTTCAAACTATTTTTCTTGCTTCCATCCGTGGCAACTTGCAGTCTATTCTGCACACAGCAGTCAGAATGACATAAATGTTTATAACGACATAATAGTTTTCCTAAACTCTGCCCTCCAAAGACCTCCCACCTGCTTGGTAAGTGCAAGGTCTTCCCCGTGTCTCCTAAAGACCTACATGGTTTGAATTCTTGCCACCTTCCTCATCGATCACTGGTTTTGTCTCACTGGCTTTCTTGAAATTTCTCAAACACACCACGAATGCTCTTCTCAGAGCCACTGCACTTGCTGTTCCCTTGCTCCACATATTCATGTTCTTCTCCCTCTCACTTCATTTCGGTCCCATTTGAGA